CCCGGCCGGTTTGGTTCAGCGGTTAGAGCGTCGGCCTGCGGTCCTGAGAGACCCGGGTTCGGTTCCCGCTAAGGGCATGTACCTCGGTTGCAGTTTGTCCCCGGCCCTGGTCGGTTGTGCGGGTGGCAGCCACTCGATGTGTTCCTTTCACATCGATGTTTCTCTCTCTCTCTCTGTTCCTCTCTCTCCCTCCCACTCTACCTGAACAAAAAATGGAAAAATGTCCTCGGGTGAGGATAAAAAAAAAAAAAAAAAAAAAAAAAGAAGCATCATCCATATCTGGATTTGATTTAAATGTCTGTACTTTGAGCTGATGAGACTTTGTAACGAGATGAAACTTCATGGGTGGTTTTTGGAGGAGATGGTCTTATTTTTCACTGGGAGAAATGTGAATGATTAGGGGCCAGAGGGCAGATTATGGTAGCCAGCTTTCAATATGGCCTTAGTGATTCTTACCTCCTGGTACTCATAACCTGTGTAGTTCTTTCCCTCTATGTACCAGGTCTGTGTAACCAATAGAATATGGTAGAAGTAAAGTTATGCTACTTTTGATATCAAGTCATGAAGACCTTGCAGCTTCTGTCTTAGTCATGGTCTCTCTTGGATCACTTGCACTAGGGGAAGCCCGTTGTTATGTTAAGAGGACACTCAGGCAGCCCTATGGAGTTCATGTAGTGAGGAACAGTTTTGTGGGTGAGCTTTCTTTAAAGCTGATCCTTTAGCATCATCAAACAACAAGTGTTGGCGAGGGTGTGGAGAAAAGGGGACTCTAGCACACTGCTGGTGGGAATGCAGACTGGTGCAGCCACAATGGAAAACAATATGGTGTTACCTCAAAAAATTAAAAATTGAACTGCCATTTGACCTAGTGATCCCACGTCTAGAAATATATCCGAAGAAGCCTGAAACACCAATCAGAAAGAATATATGTACCTTCATGTTCATAGCAGCACTATTTACAATAGCTATGATCTGGAAATAGCCCAAATGTCCATCAGTAGACAAATGGATAAAAAAGCAGTGGTACATATACACAATGGAGTACTATGCAACGGTAAGAAAGAAAGATCTTTTATCCTTTGAGACCACATGAAGGGACCTGGAGAGTATTATCCTAAGCGAAACAAGACAAGCAGAGAAAGACAAATATCACATGATCTCACTTATTTGTGGAATATAATGAACATAACAGTCTGAGGAATGGGGTAGTCCTAGAGATATGGAAGTGGGGTACAGACTGACAATCCCCAGAAGAGGGGGGGGGAGAGATAAACCACTGAACTTATATGTATGTATGCATGAACAATGGACATGGACAACAAAGCTGGGGACAGGGTGGGGAGGGTGGGCAGGGGGGTATCAGTGGGGGAAAAAGGAGAAACATCTGTAACAAAAATAAATTAATTAATTAAAAAAAAAAAAAAGCTGATCCTTTAGCTATGGTCAAGTCTTCAGAAGACTGCAACCTAGCCTACAGTTTGACTGTAACCTCATGGGAGACTCAGAATCAGAGCCATTTAGCTAAACTGCTCATGAATTCCTAACCATCAGAAACTGAGATACTGTTTGGTTTAAGCTAAGTTTTGTTATGCAGCAGCAGATAACGAATACAATACCTAAGTGTTTCTTCCACAGGCCTATGAAAGCCAAACAAAAGGAAGATAAGAGCAGCAGAGAAAAGTAAATTGTGTTTTAGCTCACTGTTGTTTTTTTTCAATGCTCATTAAGCTTCTTTTAAACCTGGGCCTGTGGGCAAATATTTATTCAGCTAAGCTAAATTAAAATATATTTTTTTCTTTATTGATTTTTAGAGAGAGAGGAAAGGTGAGGGAGAGAGAGAGAGAAACATCGATGAGAAAGAACATCAATTGGCCACCTCCTGCATGCCCCTCACTGGGGAACAGGCCCACAACCCAGGCATGTGCCCTGACCAGGAATCGAACTGGCGATCTCTTGGTGCATGGGTGCTCAATCACTGAGCCACACCAGCTGGGCAGCTAAGCTAAATCTGAAAGATGTAAGGAAGGGGGTTAGCTTTAGTTATATGGAGATATACAGTCATGTGCTACATAATGAAATTTTGGTCAACAGTGGACTACACAGACAGTGGTATACCATGTATTCTAGGTGTGTAGTAGGCTATAACATCTAGGTTTGTGTAAGTGTATTCTGTGATGTTCACACGATGAAATTGCCTAAAAACACATTTCTCAGAACGTATTCCCACTGTTAAGTGATGCATGACTGTGTGTGTATATGTGTGTGTGTGTGTGTGTGTGTGTATATATATATATATATATATATATATATATATATACCTCTTTGAACTGGAGGATTTACTTTTCAGAAGACAGATCATAAGATTTTCTTAGAGCCTAGTCTTTGCAGAATGGTAGGGCAGCTGCTGCTTCTCTTGGGTTGAGATTTAAAGTTCCACTTACTATTCATTTTTGTCTAATATGACTAGTTTAAGAAATGTAAAGTATGATTTGATTTCCTTCCTAGATTTTGTTATGGAAACAAGAGAAATAAGAATATATTTTCCTAGTCTCTGTTTATTTCTCTTTCTGTCTTATAATCAATTTCAGTAACTTTAACAATAAACAGTAAAAATGATAGAGTATACAAAGCATTGCCCAAGTGAATCCATCACGAAGCTGTGTCTGAGAATGGTTTCCTAAATAGGGGAAATGTGTTTCATACAAAAAGTCCATTTTCTGTTATTGCCTTTTTTATTTGGACTACAAGATGCTATATATTTTAAGGCAATCTTAATAGTTTCCTGTCTCTCAGTAACAAGAATGACTTGTCATAATGAGCAGTGTAGACACTGTCCATTTGATACACTCCCAAAAGCTGTCTGTTTGATACAAGAGTAAATCACCTCAATTCCTTTGTGGAATGAGTTGAGTAATAAATGAATGAGACACAAGAATTAAAAAAAAAAATCTGGTCAGGTCTATCAGAAGGAAACAAAGGATAGGAACATTTAGAGGCCTAGTTTAATAAAAGAAATGTGACAAAACAAAAATTTATGTGGGATAACTATAAAGGGAAGAAGAGTCCTCACTAAAATAAAATGTCTATAAAATAGTTTCTTCCTTCTTTAGGAAGAAAGGTAATTTTGTAGTTTAAGAATAATAATTCTTGCCTGGCTAGTGTGGCTCAGTGGATTAAGTGTCATCCCCTGGACTGAGAGATACCGGTTTGATTCCTGATCAGGGCACATGCCGGGGTTGCAGGCTAGATCCCCAGTGGGAGGTATACAGGAGGCAGCTGCTTGATGTAACTCTCTCACATCAATGTCTCTATCTTTCTCTCTAAAAAATCAATAAAAACATTTAAAAAAAAAGGAATTCTTAATTCTTCAAAGTTGGAGGACCAGTGTTGTAAAATGATTTACTCACCATTACCTCCACCAAAAAGAATTCTCATTTTCAGCACTCTTTCTATAATTTTTCACATGTCTAAATCTGAGTAGAATTTCGATTTCCATTTTAGAAAATGGGTTTGTTTTGGGGGTGTCTTTTTTGTTGTTATTTTGAATGTTTTACTTCAATTTTTGGTCTTGTTTTTTGTTTTATTTTGAGAAGACTCCAAAATGTCCTTAATTTTTCATTTTACAGTTAGTGAGTGGTATATCTCTTAGAAAATTATATCAAACTGTCAATGCATTTGACTATTTAATTTTTTTACTGTTACTGTCTGAGAACATTTTGTATGACATATTAGTAGAGCTAGTATTCTATGTCAGGTCTAGGGTTCCAAGTGGGGATGAGTTATGACAAATTTTGTGCCCTATGATTCTCAAAATACAATCTCAGGATGCCTAGCATTAGAACCACCTAGAAAGCTTGTTTAAAAAATGCAAATAATCAGGTCCTAGTGCAAACCGACTGAATCAGAATCTGTAGGAGTGAGACTTCAGAATCTGCATTGTAATTGTTTCTCTCTGTGGTTCCAATGCAAACTAAAGTTTAAGGGCCAATTATCTAGTCAGGGGTTAGATGTTAGAGGAATAAACAATTTACGTTGTGCTTGGAGGCACGATACATTTTCAAAATAGTATCATCTAGGAGAGGGCTTTGCCATGGCAGTTCCTATCAGAAGAAATATAAATATATATGTATTTTACACACACACACACACACACACACACACACACACACACACGGCACCAGAACGAGTCTTCTGGGGTCTTAGAGAAAACCTTGAAAGAAGGTTTACAGATAGAAGACACTCAATAGATATTTGTTGACCAAAAATCAGGTTGGAGTGAATAGATTTTATAATTCTAATCACCAGCAATTTAATGCTTGTAAATGGACAATGGTATCTATGTCTATTTAGCTTTCTTTTCTCTTTTTTTAACTCAAAAGAACAGTGACTAGAATCCCCCACTCTTGGTTCGCAGGAGGGGCAGTCAGGCACCCCGAGAATCCCAGTCAGGTAGAAAAGTAACGTAAGAGCCAATCAGGTAGCTCTCTGGACTGGCTTCTCAGGGAGGACTGGCGGAAGAGGGAACACCGTTACCTTCACTCGAGCGGACAAAGAAGGCCGTAACAGCTCTGGACGGTCGGAAATTCCTTCGCGTTATTAGGCGAGGTGTTAAATCTCCACGGCGCAGGCCGTTGGCCAGAAGGTTTCTCAATCGGGAAACTTGGACTCACAACGGACACCATGGTTTTCGGGACCCCGGGGAAACGGTCAGCAGTTTTGGCAGTACCAGTAACACAAATGGCGGCAAGCCGCTTCAGGCGCCGGATCAGGTGATGCAGCCCTAGTCCGCTCCCTTCCCACCGGCCGCTCCTCCTCCCGCTCCCTGACGTGAGGTGGGCGTGGCCTGTCCAGGGGCTCTTTTCGGAGCTTAGGAAAACCGAGGGATACACATGCGCAGTTGGACACCTCTGGCCTTCGGGTCTCCGCCCCGCCTATCGCCCCGCCCTGAGCTGCCGGGCGGGGCTGGGCCGAGAGTCCGGCAGCTGCTGGCTGGGCTTCAGTGACTTCCTTGTTATGAGCCCCGGCCCGGCAGTGTCCGGAATCGTAGCCCCGCTGTGCTCACCGGGACCGCTAGCCAGAGTCTAGGTCGCTGCGCAACCCCAGCCCGTCGGTTACCCTTTCAGCACAGATCCTTCCCCCGCACGCCCCGCGCTCCCTAATATGCCCAACCCCAACAGCACCTCCTCTCCCTATCCCCTCCCCGAGGAAATTAGGAACCTGTTGGCAGGTAAAGAGCGGGAAGGGGGCGGATAACTCTGCGGGGCGGGGGCGAGGGGACGGCGAGCCGACGGGGACAGAAGCTTGCAGTCTTTACCCTCCTTCTCGGGTTCCCCACGTCTCCTGGCCAGTGGGAGTGGGGCTGGGAGTGGGGAGTGGGGCTGAGAAAGGGAGTGGGCGTGTGTTGAATTTTGGTGCTATGATGGTGGGGAAGCCCTTATAGATAGTTTATTCTGCATGCATCGTAAATTCGCTGTGTATGTGTGTGTGTGAGAGAGAGAGAGAAGGGGAGAGGAGAGAGAGGAGAGAAAGAAAGAGAAAGAGAAAGAATATAAATGCAAGTGTGAAAACTGGGAAGGGATCAGTAGTCAAAGAAGTTGTTCTTTGGTTCTTTGGTGACCTGGTCAGTGGAGCAGAAGGGTGTAAAGATACAAAGAGATGTCTGAGCTACAGGTGTTAGGGATTATGGGATGGAAGGGTTTGTCATTTATAAAACTCCCATTTTTTAACTCCCAAGAGGACTTGAACATTCAGTCCACTCATATTTAAGACTTTCAAAGAGGGCCTGATTCTCAAATGGCCACTTGTCTTCAGCTTGAGTAACATTAAAAAGGAAGGATGTGTTAAACTCCAACTTCCTGTGTCACGATGAAAGTACTTCATCTTTGCACCCTCATCTTCCCTTTTCCAGTTTTACCATTTATAGGAACTTACTTAAAGTTAAAGATGCAGTTCTTCAAGGCTGTGTACTAAATATGAAGATGTGTATTGTAACTAAGGGCCAATGAAAAATTTATATCTCTGCACAAGGTAGAAAATATATTAGGCTAACACAAATCTTACCTATCTTGATGCTCTGGAATCCTTACCTTTATTCATTTTGTCATGCATACATCAGAATTCTGGAAATTGAATTTTGATCATTTTACTTTAGTTGTCTCTTAAGTATTTATCTTTCAATATTGGTCATGAATATCCTGGATTAAAAGAATTTCTCTTCGATACTTGTGTTACAAGTTGGTTATTTTAACTCTTAAAAAGCAATATCTAAAATGTGACTTTTAAAATAGGAAGCTACAGTTATAGTATGAGACCAAATCTGATGTGCTGTTATATTGTTTTGGTGGTTCACATCATGACTATGACAGAGAAAATAAAATCAATGGATGCAGACTTAGTTGGTGTGAACATGATTACAATGTGATGAGTGCATTTGTGGTGGGGTAGTATTTTACTCTAAGAAATGTTTGTTGTCATTAATAGGTACCACTAAGGGAAATATTGAAAGAACTGAAAAGACAGCTTTTATTCCAATATATTAGACTTTCATAGGAGTACTATTTTGTATTATTACAGTTAACATTATTTTTTGTTAAAATGCTGGAATTGTATAGAGTATTATTGTTTAGAGTTTTATTTTAAAACTAGATCAGAGTAATATTTATGATTACTCCAAAAAATAGATGTTACTATCTTCAGGATGTTCCAGGTCTAGAATTGAGCCCCTCCCTTCTTTTTAAAGGCATGAATTTTTTAATTTAAGCAATAAAGTACAGACCTCTGGGTGCATGGTTTTAAAGCTTGACAGCTCCCACAATAGACAGTTTGCTATTTTGGTCCATAATCATACATTTGCAGATAGTATGATACATAGTTTATGAGACCCTCTATTCTCTGATCCCCATATATTACAAGTGTCTCATGTAGACCTTACTTGAGTAATTTAATTAAAAGCTTAGAATTACATAATATTTAAATTATCTGCCAATGCTAACTTTCTGTATACTTTAGTCATCTCTTTCTTTAGTCAGATAATATAATTGCATAAAGTCTGAAATCAGCATTTTAAAAGTTATCTTATTGACATTTCTAATATTTCATATTATTGAAGCAAATCACACATTAAAACACATGAAATATTAAAACATTAAAAATCAGAGATTATACATGGCTTACACTATTTTTCAGAAGATATTTTTGAAGATGCATGGCTCTGAGGAAAAAAATATTCTAAAGAAATGAAATAAGTGAACTAGTGTTTTTGTTTTCTTTTTTAACTTATTCAAAGAAACTTAACATTTTATATTTGACTGTAATTTAAATCTTTTTTGAGCTGGGGAAGTTTTCAAGAATAAATGCTCTCAGCAGTTTTTTCACTAAAAAATGTCTGTTGGGATTGTGCATGATGATTTGTGTTGGGTAATAGTACATGGTTAGATATAAAATTACTACAACTGTAGATGGAGACTTGGTATTGGTTTGAAATGTAGAGATATTACTGGCTTATTAGTTCATTATTTGAAACTAACAACAGAGATATTGATGGTTGTAGTTAACAGTTGAGAGCTCTTGGAATGCAAGGCACTGTGCTAGAATTCCAAGGTAGAGAAAATAAGCACCTAAAGTTTTCAGGCGTTTAAAATCCCTTGCCTTCAGAAAAAAGAATGTAAAGTCAAAAGATAATGTCTTTCAAAATAAGATTGTTTGGACATTTTCCTTTGTATTCATGTGTCTATTATTAAAATCATTATATGTCATGTGTGTTAAATGTTTGACATTTCAACTGCTTGATAGAGGTAGGTGCTCAAATGTTTTCTTATCAATTTATTATTTTCTTTCTTGTTATTTTTCTTTTTGATTATAACAGTTTTAGGCTCCCCTCCCCCCCGCTTATCATTCCTTCCCCCTTAAAAAATTCTATGGAAATGCAAAAACACATAGATGTTATCATTCTTAACTCACATTTAATGATACTCTTGAAAAGGTAGCTATATTGTTAGTTATTTATATTTCTATGATTTAAATCCTGAAATCCTATACTTTTTAGAAAAGTGTTTTATTATTCTTTTGTTTCATGAATGGAAAAATGTTTACAGATTTTTGTTGTTAAAAGCAAATTTTGAACTGCCATATGCATGTGATCTCAAATTTTTTTCTTTTTTAAATTAAATTAAAATTTTAAAAATTAAATTTACTGGGTGACATTGGTTAATAAGATTATATAGGTTTCAGGTGTACATTTCTATGATACATGATCTGTATATTGCATTGTGTGTAATTTTTTCCCACAACAATGGAAGAACAGGTTTAGCCTGGATAATTAGAATCAAAGGATAACCCCAAATCTTGTCCATTTAATCTTCTCCTACATCCAAATATTTTGACTAGGACTAACAGCAAGAATAATCTTGATTTATGTGAGTTTTACCTCCAGGCAGCCAGGAAAGTGAGAGGAACTGGAACCACTGGCCCCCCAACCTCCTTCATTTGTTTAATCACCCTTTGAATACTAGAGTGTTAGTGGTTTGCAACCAGAAAGTCTCATTCATATGTTTTAGGACAACACATTTAGAAAGGAAAGCTGTAAGAAGATGTTAGTGTCTTAATATTGAGTTAGAAAATGAAACCAATGTTGATGTTAAAAGAAGAAAATAGTGGATGTCATCAGTACCCTGAAAAATCAAAACCAAACTAAACCAAGCAAACAATAAAATGGCTATGTGGTTTCTGCAAAGTGACCTTGAGATTCTGTTCATCTGGCAGTCTTGAAATACTGCATTTTCCCCTATTGGGGATCTCCAGAACATTTTTTTTTTTTTAACCTTCACAAATTATAATCAATAATCCCTTTAGGGGCATTCAGTAAGGAATGCAATTCAGTTGAAATAGAGGCAGAATTTTTTTTCATCGCTGAAAATAGTATGGTTTGATTTCCACCATTCCAAAGTTCCGTTTATAATTTGGTCAACATTTTGGCTTTATTTTTCTTATGAGAATTATTTATGGTATATCTAGTGTTCCATAACTTTCTTCCGGGGCATTGGCTGAGTATGTAAAGGGAAGAGTGCCACCTACTGAGTCACCAATAGTCACCTACTTCTTTAGCACCTGGATTTTTCTACAGAGCAAGAAAAGCTGGCCCCATTTTGGCTGTAATAACGAGCATAAAGTTGATATGAGAATGTTTTATCTCAAAATGAAACCAGTCTATAACATCTCTAAGATATTCTCTTCTAGAAATAATAAAATGTGTTTGTAAATCAAGGGACCAGAAATTTAGTTTCTTGTATGAGTCAAATAGCAGATAAATTAATATGTGATGTTATTATTTGCCTGTCTTAAGCATATGATGTCCTACTTTTTCTTGGGGTGGTGGGATCTTTGGGGCTGGCTTGTTTTCCACATAGCATTCCACTGGAAGTATTTTCATTTCATGTTACTAAATAAGACACAGTTTTTATAGTTACTCAATCCAAATTATCACTGGCTTTCTTGTTTACAAAAGGCAACCTTAATATACTAAAAAATGAGAAGTATATAAAAAATTTCCAAATGAGTTTATCTCTACATTATCAGCACTAACGCATTACTAGAAAGAAGATAGAAACAACAGAGTAGGAAAAGCCTCTAGTGATTTGAAACACAGTTCCTTTGTCTCTCATAAATTTAAGATTAAGTGTCATATATGGGTGATAAAAGTGGCATAGGCTAGTTTTTATATACTCATTATTCACTTAGTTTGTCTTTTTCAATTAAGGCCAAGTCTATTTTTTTCATTCCACTGAGTTTACATTTCTTTTTCAATCACATACTGAACACACTATAATAGATGCTGCCTAACAGTGACTATAGTGTAAATCTCAGACTAATGTGTTATTCACTGTGGCTTCTTTGAAAATGCGTGGTAAAAAGATTTTGATTATTATAGGGTGCTATTTATCAAGAGTCATCTTTTAGAGGTGGAAGATGTTCATCTCTATCCTTCAACAGCCCAGTTTTCTATCAAAATCAATCATTTAGCCTCCAAAACCAATTCTGAAAATGTTATCAGATGACAGGATTGTAAGACTCAGGTATGTTTTCTATGAGAACTCCTGTGCTTATTCATGCCTCTTCTTCCATGTTAGAAAAGTCCACAGTTCAACTATAACCTGTACAAGTACGAGGTAATCAAGAGAAAGGCATTGATCAAAGCAATCAATAACTTTTCAATTAACCATTTTCCAACTTTGGGCATTTGACTCCATTGATCTACATGTGCCCAGTTTAATTTTTATGTTTTCACCCTTAGGTGTGTTTGGTCAGTCATATCCCCTTGTAGCAGAGAAGAAAAGCATGTCTTTTTGTTCTGATGCCAGCTTAAAGTTTGGCTGGAATCCTGACCACATTAAGTTTAGTGATAACACCTCAGTGAATACAAACTGAAACCTGGCCCAGTTCATAGAGAAAGATGTGGAATTAAGTAGTAAAGCCATTTGGGGTGTGGTGTGATTGGTTTTACACTTATTTTATTGATCTGGGGCTGAGCAAATGGTAGTTGATTCAGTTCAGTTCTTGCCTCCCTCTCTCATACAGTTCAGATCATCACAGAGGCTGTGTGTGTGTGTGTGTGTGTGTGTGTGTGTGTGTGTCTACTCAGGTAGGTATTGGGTATTGAGGGACAGGCCAGAGAAGACACTAGGCATTACCTTTTTGACTAGTTTAAAACCTCTAGCCTAGAAGTCATATTCCAGGCTGTTTGCTGGTAGAGGATGGTAAAGGCAAGTGGTCAAACATCAGCTTTCTTCAAGAGTGGGAAACTGCTGTGTTCTCAGCTTCAAGAAGCCTGCAGTTTATTTTATTGTTTGCAAGAATTTAAAGACTGTTTTAACCTCGTGTGGTTTCATCTTTCCACTGTGTATAGAAGTTGGTAGAAAGCAGTTAGCCCTTGTGTGTGCATGTTAGATACCTGTCCTAGCCCTTCAGGTGGCAGAAAAGGAAAAGAACAATTGGAGTACCATTTGGTGACTTGGTGTGTGCTAAGTGTTTCCCTCTTAGGGGTCGAGATGGCTGATGAGAGATTTCTAACTTACACTTCTCAAGGATTGCTGAGCCAAGATATGATGTCATCTGTTTTGTTTTCAGACCTTAACATTTATCTACAGAGCGACTGTAAATCTGATCTTTTTAGAGGCCCTCTCCCCCAGATCTTTATAGTGCTACCGGGAGATAAGGTTTACTCTTGACAGTGTCCAGGAGTAACAGGAACAAAAATCACCACCACATTTACATTCCCTGGGATAACTTTTTGCTCCGTGATGACTTGGGAGCAGAGGCTGATGGAGATGGGGCTAATTCTGGGGATGTCCGGGGCACTGACCTGCAGTCTACCAGGCTGCGGGCCTGGGGACGGTGGGGGTTAGACCTGGTGCGTTGGATGCCTCGGTGAACCGTGTTTCTCCTGTTCAGCGGCGGCCAGTGCGCGCGAGGGGAGACCCCTCCTTCCGAGGAAGAGGAATTCTAACTCACCAGGCCTAGAGGCGAGCGAGAAGGCAGGCTGACCTTTTCTTGCAATCGAATTATGGCTGTTCCCCGAATTACAGGCAGTCTGCAGTCAGGGAAGTCTGCAGATGAACCCAGGGACCCGATCCCGAAGGAAGGGCGAAGAGGGCCACTGCGCTCCCCAGTTTACCGTTTGCAGGGCTATTCCGAGCACAATAAGAAGCTTCAGATCTCTCTTCCAACCAGCCAGAGGAGCGCTTGACTCGCCCAGGACTTTACAGCTCGCTTTTGAAATATTACCCCGGCTCTGAACCACAAAGCCGCAGCAGACCCAGTCCCATTTGTCTGGCGAAGGCGCTGCCCCAAGCCCAGGGCTGCCTTCTCACAGCTCCGATGACAGGGACCCCGGGGTTCAACACTCCGCGTGTCGAATGTCGCACGTCGCGGGCCTCAGAGCCCAAGCATCTCCCAGAAAAGCCCCAGGAACTTTGCGGCGCTCTGCTCTCAGCCTGGGACCGGCCGCAGGCCCCGCGCCCAGTCTCCTCTGCCCGGAGAGGCTGGTTTCGTTGGGTTCCAGAAGAAGTGGGCACAGTGTGGTTTTTAAGAAAAAAACACCCAGATTTCAAAGACTTAAAAACCTGACCAATCAGTGGGCAACAACAAACTTAAGGTTACTACAGTAATCGCGTCCACTTTAAAGCTCTTATTTGTTAAAAAAAGAAAAACAGCAAAGCAGTTTCTATGCTTTCCTCGTCTCCTTTGAGAAGTAATTTTAAAAGATTAATGTTTATCAGCCTTTTTAGTTGCCTTAAACCCTTTTTCTGGGATACGTTTAGGAATAAATACATTAAGACTACTTTAAAAATATAGATCTTCTCCCTTGCCCGATCTCTGAATCTCCCTCACCCCCACCAGCACCCCAGAAAAAAACAAACAACAAAATAGATTTTTTTCCCCCCTGCAGGCTACTCTCTCAACAAGTATTTCCTCTTCAAGTAGTAGCAGGGATTGGTATTTTAAAAACATTTTTTGAGAGTGTTAGGAGACACTATATAGAGCATCTCAGCTTTTTATGTTTTCTGTTTTTATAGAAGTGAAATGACCTTTCAAAGAAATAACTCTTGGGCTGTAATTCGTTCTGTTATTGCTTCCGGAGAGAGAAAATAGATCCCGTTTGTTTAAACTTGAATTGTATAATGAAAATGTAAAATAGGCAATTAAATACTCGTGGATGAGGGAATTAAAGACAAACACTGAGTGAAAGTAACATTAAGCAGACTATTCACCAATCATCGTGCCTGTGATTCTCCCAAGTACTGAGCCGGGTTGGAAGAATCAGTAGAGATGCTGCTCCTTCCCTTGTTCCACTTTCTTAGTAGTAGGTTTATTGTAAACATCTCAGAGAAGCCAATGATGGTTTCCATTTCAGGTAATATCTGACTGTCCAAAGGTTGTTTGCTCCTCTGGATACAAAATTTAAAGAGTTTAGAGGAGAGCACTTTAAAAAATGTTTTATTGTTTTGAACTCACTTTGGAAGTCTGGGTCTAATTTGCACTGGTACTGGGCTATGTCTCTGTGTCCTCTTCAAAAGTATGGACAGCTCAAAGAAAGTGAAGCCGTGACACTGCTTTCATTTTGTTTTGATACTTACTCTTAACATTAAAGCCAGAAGGCTATTTTAAAAATATGTATCAAGATTAAATTTTAATTCTTTCACTTGTCACCTATTTTACATATTGATTTAGGGCAAAATTACCTTTATACTCTTATTGTGAATGTATAGAATAACAGTTTAATCAACTTTGCTCATTGGCTCAAGATACTTTTGTAATCAGGAATTAAAATTAATTATATTCTATCTCAAATACTAGGCTTTAAATTGTTAATTGTAAGTACAGTTGAAAGACTCTTGTACTGCTTTGAATTAATACATGTAATAATGTATGCTTTGATACTATCTTTTTATCAGTGTGAGTTAGGAGATAAAGTAGCTAAGTAAAAAGAAAGGAAAACATGCACACATCTTCCATATGAAATATGGATGGTTTGCAGTCAGACCTACTTGCCAAATTTTAATAGTATCCTTTGTATTAAAGATCTAAAAGTGAGATTTGAAATTCTGTACATAAAATTAAAGTTGTACAATATTTCATGAACAATAAGAATGGAACTATTATAAAATTATATCAGTAAGGATTTGTTGGGATTTTATATTAGAAAGAACGAGATAGCAGAATAATTTAGAAGGGTTACTGAACTTTTTAAAAAAGAGGCTATCTGGAAATGTTATATGAGGTCATAGAAATATTATCTGTAAGTTACTATATTTTAAAATAGTGGATGAATCTATTGTTGTTACTTGTTCCTTTATTTAAAGAAATATTTTCAGGTGGTAATACCAAGGCAAGAAGCTGGAACACACAAAACCACACAATTGATTATCTTTTTATTTGAGAGTGGCTAGCCAGAGTGGGAGGGGCAGGTGGGAAGGAGGAGGGTTTAATATTGGGAATCTTGGCTAGAAAAGAGGATTTATTTATTTTTCTTTTAAGGCAATAAACACCTGAAAATAGATTACAATGGGACAAACAGCCCTTGCCAGAGACATTAGCTTATACTTATATAACATTGTGAATGACCTATTCCTACAGGAACTCACAAAATACTATAAAATGGTAGTAACACATGCATAAAAGCTCTGTGCTTGCTTTTATATGAGAGAATTTGTTTTATGGGGCACCATAGTTTATTAAAACTTGTGTGCTTCTTCCTGGTTTAATGATGCCAAACATCCAAAGAGCATTTGCTGTGCTAAGCATAAGTAGAGCATACAAATTTTATTAGCTAAGTGGTGAACAAATTTGTCCAACTTAGTATTTGAAACATACTTCAACTGTTATGCTTTGGATTGATAAATAACTGTAACAGATTGTACAGATATTAACACTTATGGGTAGAAACAATCATTGTCCTATTTGTCTTCACAAAAAAATGATTCTTTCTTACAATTTGTGTCCTGTTTCTTATATTTTATGGTTTAGATGTTGAAACATTTGTAGCAGACATACTGAGAGGGGAAAATTTATCCAAGAAAGCAAAGGAAAAGAGAGAATCTCTTATTAAGAAGATAAAAGATGTAAAATCTATGTAAGTCACTTACTTGCCTTTTATTACTATTTTTTTTTATTTAGCTTCAACTTTGTAATTAATGTTTTAATAAATAATTATCATTGAATTACAATTTTAATGTAATTTAATTGCTGCTGAGTATTTTTAAAGGACAATATATATTTTCACTATAACAACTTTTAGAAGTGGACATGGTTATCGTAATGCCCCCCTTTTTTGTAAAGGTTCTTGAATATGTATTTTTCTAAGCATTCTACATACAAAATTAAACTTTTTATTAGGCAAGGATATATTTGTTTTAAATGATAAAACATAGGTTGAGAATTTTAATATAAATATGGAAAATAACCTCCAGATACTGAAATGAATAAATATAAATTATAGATATTATAGATATGTTCTGATTTTACTACTGTAACTTAGGTCTTTAAACATAGTTTTAGTATAAATCCATAAAACTTTTGGAATTGTCATTTGAGGATAGGAGGTAGTTTTTTTCCTCTAAATATATGTTTATAATATACATTTTAAAATAGTTTTGAATTACTGTCACTTATAGACCTTGTTTTGATTTGTCAGTCCTTGTTTTAAAATATAATGCTCTTTTTTATTTTGCAGCTATCTTCAGGAATTTCAAGACAAAGGTAAATTTTCAAGTTTGTCAAAGTTGAAATTATTTTTTCCTTGTGGAAATTTTCAATAGGATAATCTAACACATACTGAAATGTTATAGTTGGAATCAAAATTTAAATATCTGACTTGTATACTTAGACTTTCAAGATGAGAGTGCTAGCTCCCCCTGCTGAGAAAAAAATTAAAAAGCATATTCGGAATCTACTCTGCACAATTTTCTGATGAAGAAATCTCCTGTAGTTAACGTTCTTAGGTTTGATGTGGCAGAAATTGGTTAAGAAAGGTGTATCCTTGCAATTAGCCATGGAATAGTTTGGTGAGGCAGAGGTGAGATGCCAACTCAACCCCATTTGACACCACAGTGATGATTTCCTGGTAATGATGGGAGCAGGAGGCCCTGTGGGTGGGTACGCATAGATAATGTTTTTTAAGGAGAATTGTTTTAAAAACAGGATCAATTTTTGTTGAGAACATGAGTAAAATTGTTTTCAAATGCTGGTTTTTAATATCCCTTTGATGTGAATAAATGTATGCCATATAAATTTTCATAGAAGGGAATTCATTTTCTTTTCCTTCTTTCTTTTATTTGAAATATGAGAGAGTGCAGGTAACCTGATTGTCTTCATTTAGATCTGAGAGACAGCTGCTTAGCACACTGAAAACCAAATCAGGAAAGGCACAGGAAGTTCCTTTTTTTTCATGTCTTCAGTTCTGTAAGGGAAACTGAGTATGGCCCTTACTTGCATGATGCTAATTCATAGGTCATGACCTGAACCCTGTGAATGCTGGTATGAGGGTCACAACATGAGGTCAGTTAACCTATATGGAGCTAGGATCTGTGTCTGGAGGAAAACAGTATGACATCTTCTAACTGGGGTTAGCAGATACCACAGAGTAATTCATATCTCTGCCAACTGATAAGTGAGAGAGTAGTGACAGTTTCAATAAACCAAGTACTTAGCCAGACAAGCCTAAAATCAAACAGCTTAAAAGGAAACCACAGTACTTTTCACATTAAATCATTAAGATTGTTGTGATTGGAGGAATGAGATTTTTTCCATATGAATTTTTAACACTGTTAAAGAGGAGAGTGGGGAAACTCCTTCTTCCCACAAATACCACTTTTGAACAGTCTACAACAAACCCTAAACCATAGGCTTAACAATGTTGCATTTTGCTTAGTCGAATATTGAAACGATACATTTATACATTTTAATTATAACTTTTTATGTAGTGTACTGATTATAGAGGATTTTAGATTTTCCCTTCTTAAAAGGCATATTTTGTACCAGAGATTATTTGTCATACTCTCATTGTGACTTATTTATACATTTAAAAAGTTTAAGCTAAGAAAGCATGGTAATATGAAGTCATTGTATGATTGCATATGATTCAGTAATAGGGTAGAACTTTCCCTTTGGTATTCAGGTTTAGGACTTGTTCAGGTGGATATTAAAATTACATTACTGAGATGCGTTCTTTGTCTCCAAAGAGAATGGAAGTTTATATGGTATTTGATAGAAACTGAAAAATGAGCCTAGAATAAGAGTTCAAATAACACAGAATTCAGAGATTCCCCATAATCATTTGCCTTTGAAAACGTCATTTGTAGTTCAATACTGCTGTTGAGTTAACTGATCACCAAGAGTGCCTCTTCAGAGGTGAGTCTGTGGATAAATTAGATGTATACCTTGGAGAAATATAAGAAAAGGACCATTCCTGTAGTTTGTTAGGAATAGTAAACAGAAGTAGTGCCCACTTAATAGTTGCAAAGTAATTATTCAAGATACTTTTTTATTCAAAAATAGGAATTTATTAATGATCAGATTCTACATTGAGTAAATTCAGTACATCCCTGAATGTTTTGAAAGTGTTGCTTTTCTTTTTCATTTTCCCCTTGGGGTTTTGGATTGTCTTCATCCAAGGAGACCTGGGCAGATTCCTTTTGGCTGTTTTTGTTCTCTCTCTCTCTCTCTCTCTCTCTCTCTCTCTCTCTCTCTCTCTCTCAGGTCAGTATGGGGTCACAATGAAATGAACAGAGGCTGTTTTCCTCCTTTTTACCTTTAGACTCCTATTGGTTTTACATACTTTGTTTTTGGTTTTCAAATGACAGTTAATTACCATCTTAATATCATTACTGGGAGGGAAAAGGACCAGGTAGTGAGTTCTTAAATAGAATGAATTAATTCAGATTTATTCATTTCTATTGAGTGAGCTATTAGTTTCTCTAAGGTACACAGCTGTTTAATATCCTTCCTTCTCTTCCACATTTCCTCCTCCCTCACACTAGAAATACTAAGCCCCATCATGAGACTGAACAGTACAGAATTTGCATTTTGCAGTATTTCAGTTCTTAAAATTATTTGAATAGATACACTAAGCTTCATAGATCTCAGAAGATTTAAAAATGTCTTAATTCCATTTTTTTGGGGGATGAGAATGGTTTGTATTATAAGAAACTTATTTTATTACAGTGGCTCCTAGATATTGAAGCTTGTCCATTAGATTTTTTACTTGCAGTTTATATTTATTTCCATAGCAAGCTGTGTTCTTAACACTTCCCTTTTTATTTCTTTAATTTCTTAAGGTTCTCATTTTTCTCTCTTCATATCCTGAAGTCTACTTTCTTTTGAGGAAGTTTGCCAGATTGTGACTTTAGAATAAATGATCAGTTGGTTTTCTAAATTTCTTATTTTGCTTGTACATAAGAAAGAATTAAATCTAAGCAACTAAGAGCCCTCTTGCTAGCCTAGTCCCTGTTATTCATTTGAAATATTGCCTGTTCTATCTAGAATAAGAGAGTTCCTTCCTTGTGTCCTTTAAATATTGTACATCATAGAGTTATTAGCTAAACCTGGTTTCCTATTTTTAGTTGCCATAGCCTAGTAATGTAATGTATATCTGATTATAAGCTTTATGCACTAGGATTATATTTAGAGTTATTTTAGACTAGAATTATGATTATTTTAGAATTTGTTCTGTGTCACATAGCAAGGTCATAGGTCTCTTAAATATGACTTAAAATAATTGAGTAAAAACTGTTATTGACTGAATATAAAATATAATTTTTAATATATATTAGGTACATGATAAAAATGCTTTACTTGTAGTTGTATCTTGCCCTTACATTAGTCTTGTTCTACTCTAGTGATGATTTAGGTATGATTCTTTTCTTTTCTTTTTAATATTAGAGAGAGAGGAAGAAAGAGGGAGAAAGAGATAGAAACATCACATCAATGAGAGGGAACATTGATTGGCTGCCTCCTCTATGCCCTGACTGGGGATTTGGCCCATAATCTGGGCATGTGCCCTGACCGGGAATCGAACTGGCGACCTCTTAGTGCATGGGTCGATGCTCAACCACTGAGCCACACCGGCTGGGCTAATTATTTTCTATATAGAATTATTAAGCTAATGTGAAGATACCTATGCAACATACATAGCAGGTGTTCAGTAAATATTATATTCTCAGATTCAACTTCATTTATCAAGAGGATTTAAGTAAATCTTGATTTATAATTCAAATAGTTTTTGAGGAAATCATACATTATTAAAAGGAGGGCATATATATTCACATGAGACAAATATTTCAAGAGAATATTTTTCAAATTTATAAAATATTAGTGCCTTAGAAAACATGAATCTATTGTTTTCAATTCCCTTTAGGTGCCATAGCTATTCTCCTTTAAAATATTTACCACTAATTATTATTATTATTATTATTTTTTTTTAATCCTCACCCGAGGACATTTTTTTGTTTTTTTGTTCAGCTAGAGCAGGAGGGAGAGAGAGGAACAGAGAGAGAGAGAGAGAAACATCGACGTGAAAGGGACGCATCGAGTGGCTGCCACCCGCACGACCGACCAGGGCCGGGGACAAACTGCAACCGAGGTACGTGCCCTTAGCGGGAACCGAACCCAGGTCTCTCAGGACCGCAGGCCGACGCTCTAACCGCTGAGCCAAACCGGCCAGGGCTATTTACCACTAATTAAAAACATGTAATAGATTGTGTCTTTAAGACTCCATTGATACTGTTAAATATGTGTAGATTTACTTAGCAATTTTTGTTGACCTCATTTGTATTATTAAGTTTATTAATGGACTAAACTACTTTTTCAAATAGCAGGATTGGTAGGTAAGAAGGGACCCATTTTAGTTTGTTCTGGTGCAGTCTTTAAGAATAGCAGAAAAGTCAGAAGTTTGTGTACTATTTAATTCCTTTTCTTTTACCTCTCCTAACAGTGTATGTTCTGTTGAAAGTTAGCTCCTCAATGAAATCTGAGCAGATGAGTTGTCGCTCTCCCCCACCCCTCAGTCTCTGGCTTTGTACAAACGTGTTCAGCATGCTCGAGGTTGGGCCCTACAGGAGAAGTATATTGCAGAGGCAGAGCTTGAGAAGTGCTGTTCTCAGTTGAAAACTGCCTCATATTTGCACACTATAAATTAGCACTCCTATGGTAGAAGAGTTATGAAAAGAATCTTACCTGTGGTGACCTAAATCTTTCCAAGCTTTAAGAATTAAACGACAGAATCCCTTAAGAAATGACAAGTTAAATGTGTAGTTCTGTCTATTTAGCTGTATTTTATTACTTCTGAAATTGGTTTGGGCAAATGAACTGAGTAGAGAATTAGAAATTAATTTGTTTTCACTCAAGTAATTCTCCCCCACCCCCAAGTTTGTCTTTCATGCTCTATAAGAGGAAGCAGTTATATCTAAATATTAGGTATATTATTTAGTTTATGGTTTACCTGATTGTGTTTAAAATAAGACAAAACAAGCAGTAAATTGGTTAAATCAACTTTAGTGGTGGTAGAGATCATGACTGTTCAGTTGCTGTTGGGCTTCATCTCTAGGAATTTAGGAAAATGCTAATTGATGATGAGCCATATAAAATAGAAGGTTGAATAGTGATTTGAACCCAACTATTATAAATTTAAAATGTTTTTCTGAGAACTATGTTGCTGTGGTACGATTAAGCCTTAGTTTTGCTGTGATATTTTAGTTGCCAATGAATATGGAAAGGGAAGTCTCGGATCATTGTCTTTTAGACTGTTAACTTTGTATCGTTAATTAAACTTTTGAAAGTTGTGGGATAAATCACATGCTTTTCTGGGGAAACAAGAAACAGTATTAATGAGCAACAACCCCATAATTATCCTTGTGAGTACATAACAGGGACACATTCATGTCTTTTCTTTGTGCAATAACTTTTACAAAGAAGTATTTTTAAACTGATCATTAATTTTATGACCACTGAAATGAGATGCAAAATTTATGCTGTTGTCACTGGCACAGGCTCAAGGCACCACTGACATTATGTGTGATTGTAATAGAATGGCTGCCAACTAATGGTTCTGTAGACATTTCATTTGAGCATGCTTTTCTTTTAGATGTCTGATTAGGCTGTAATGCTTTCAATTATGTCTGTAAATTGTATTGGATACGTTTACCTGATGCCCATCGTTGCTTTGGAGTTCAGTTTTCTATTACATAAACACAAGTTGAACATTTTCCTTTTAATTTATAGGAGTCTTTGCAGGTATAGCTGCAAATACTCAACCTCTGGGGAGAAAAAAAATACATTGCACTACTCAACAGCGACCCCTGTGTTCAATTAAAGGTCCTTGTAATACAGAGGTCTTTATTGGGTTGAAAAAATAATTGGGGAAGGGGGAAAAGGGATGGATCATCACTGAAACAACAGTAAAATGAAGACCATTTTGAAAAATGATGTGTCCTTTCAACTTAATGCAGGTTAAAAAGGGAATAACTCTGTACGGGTACCACAGAGATTCTTATTCTTTACTTTCTGAGTTAATTCAAGGAAAGCATGAGTTAATTCAAGGAGGGGAGCACGAGTTCAGTAGCAGCACTTAATTCATATTGTCTTGGATTAATATAAATATCACACTGACAAAAAACAACAATTTGAGATGAACTGAAGTTATTGGACAATTTTACTTTAATATATATAATCCAAAATTGTTTTTTAAAAAATATGCTTTTATTGATTTTTTAGAGAGAGAGGAAGGGAGAGCAAGAGCTAAAAACATCAATGTGAGAAATCATTTGGCTGCCTCCTGCACGCCCTCTACTGGGAATTGAGCCCACAACCTGGGCATGTGCCCTAACTGGGAATCAAACCCGGACCTCTCAGTCCAGGGGACAACGCTCAGTGCACTGAGCCACACCAGCCAGGTCAAACAATTTTTTGAATAAAACAAAAAGCACAAAAGTCTTTAACATGTCATTGACCAATGTGTGTAGAATATTCATAACTCATATTAAATATTATTGATTTTATAGCTTTAATAATGACCTTTATGCTGTGTGTGTGCATGTGTGCATGTATGTATATGCATGGATATACACATAAAATATATAATGGATATTATTGAAGGATAACAAATTCTGATTTTCTTTTTCTTTTTTTTTTAATCCTCAACCGAGGACATTTTTCCATTTTTTGTTCAGATAGAGCGGGAGGGAGAGAGAGGAAGAGAGAGAGAGAGAAACGTCGACGTGAAGGGACACATCGAGTGGCTGCCACCCGCACGACCAACCAGGGCCGGGGACAAACTGCAACCGAGGCACGTGCCCTTAGCGGGAACCGAACCCGGATCTCTCTGTACCGCAGGCCGATGCTCCAACCGCTGAGCCAAACCGGCCAGGGCTGATTTTCTTTTTTTAATTGAATTTATTGGGGTGATATTAGTTGATGAAATTGTGTAGGTTTCACATATACGACTCAATAATATATCATATGTATATTGTTTTGTGTGTTTACCACCCCATGTAAATCTCCTTCCAGCACCATTTATCCCCCCCATATACTCTTCTACCTCCCCCACCGCCCTGATTTTCAAAACTTAAGTTTCATTTTTTTTTTATCTTATTTTCATATAGAGTTTAATAGACTTAAGCCCAAGCATATGAATATTTTTCAAAATTCTTTCCATTGGTTTCACTGTTGTATTTTAATATTCATAACAGTGTAATATGCTAAGTGCTAAGTTCTGGTGATGTATTTGAAGTATCCTAAACTTTTTTTTTTTCACAGCAAGATTTATTTTATAGATAATGATATGAAATATTTAGAAAATTTATATTATAAAAATTCTTACTTTATTAAGAATATAAGAGTACTCTAGCAACTAAGAGCAATTGAGAATTTTGTGATTGTTACTACCACGTGTTCTATGAGCTGTCATTCCAGGTTCAAATATGTTTTTACCTGCACTTTATGTTCTCCCTTACCTCATGTTTAAAATTAGAGCACTGATATTTCCATAAAAGGAATATTGTAAGGGATCACTGAATGTCCTGAAGATACTTTGAACATCCTGTAAGAAAGAGAAATTAAGATCTGAAGAATGAGTAGGATTTGTATGTGCTTACTGCACTTTTAATTGGGGAAGAAACATCACCATGTATGATGCACCTGATGGTGGAATCACTAAGGACAATAAGTAGTCATCTCTATATTCTGCTCTTATTGTATTGATGGGCGATATTACTGTTTTTATTCTGGAGATCAGGATGATCAATGTTGAAATATCAACATTATAAGGAAATAGATGAATATTGATTTTTAAAGTTACTTTGACGGTTTTGTGTTAAAAAAGGCTATTTTTTCCTACCAAAAATTTGACGAAAAATGGAGTGCTACCCATCAAATGGATGTCAGAGGACACAGATATCCTTTGGAGTGACTAGTAGCTTTCATCTGGATCTTTTCGGCAACCATGGTCTAAAAGTAATTCTGTAGGTGCTCTAGGGCTCCTGTGAACGTTTTCACCCATGCTTTTTGGCTAATCCCTAAGGTGGCTGGTTTTCTCTTGAATTGTTAACAGGTAGATAATTGATAAGATATTAAGTATATATTTTTTGTTTTTGAGTATGGGTGAAAAATAAGTGCTTATATATAACTGGGCTAGCAAATATCTGAAACATTTTTTTTCTTAAATCATTCTAAATGAGTTTGTGGAAAAAATCCAAACCACAAGATTTAATTGTGGGGATTAAATAACTTCAAACCAACCAACCAACCAACCTAGGATTTGGAAATCATGTAGGAAACTGGCTAGAATATTAAAACTGGTTAGAACATTTTACAGTAGATTAAAAATAATTGCATTTTTAAGAGCAGTATCCTGTACAGGAAAGCTGCTTTAAAACTCATAGAAACCTTTTAGATTTGAATAAGGTTATTTACAAACTAGATACCTTCAATTTTCATCCAATGGTATCTCACCATTTTAAAATCTACTCTAATATTATCATGTGATTTTTAATGAAAGCATACAATGTTCATATGGCTTTGAACTATCAATTTCTCATAATTTTTCAAATATTGAGTAGGTAAATGGAATAATTTCCCTGTTGTACTTTGCATGTTTTTATTTATTTATTTATTTTGGTCATTGTTATCATGATTTTGGTTTTATTCATTTGTTTATTTTGGATAAACATTTTGTTTTATCCTGCTTCTACTTTTTTGTATTCATCTTTGTAGAGATCATCATAATTTTGGAAATTGAATCTTTTTGTATCAGAAATAAACAGTTGTATACTGACCTTCAAAAACGCTTACTTTATCTAAATGACAGTGGATATACATAAAAATAGGACCTGTTTTTATAGTTCAAAAAGTTTTCTTTTTTATGACAGCAACTGAATTTGATAGGAAAATTTACCTCTTCAGGCAAAGTAACATTTTTTAAAGATGGCCAAATTGTAAAAGGCTTTTCTCTAATTCTTTTACAGGTGATGCAGAAGATGGGGACGAATATGATGATCCTTTCTCTGGGCCTCCAGACACTATTTCATTAGCCTCAGAAAGATATGATAAAGATGATGAAGCTTTCTCTGATGGTATGTGATATTTTCCCATAGACTATACCTCTTGACACTCTAACACAAAACAATGCAATGTGTAGAGGTGGTGGTACTGTCTGAAAGCAGATAAATGCAGAGGCTTCAGTTAACTTATCTTTACCCGGACCTTTTAAGGAACAGAAGAGCTCTCTCTAGTGGTTTTCCTAAGTATGTAGTTCCTTCACTTCCTAGGAAATTTTCTTTGCAAGAATTTTTAGAAGCGTGCTCGCATCATCATATTATTAGTAAGTTTGTTGGTTAATTTAATATTATAAGATTCTTGCTTAATTTTATTATGCTGCTAATGGCTTATTGTATTATTTATTTTATAAATAATGAAAAAGGTTTTTGATCTCTTTTTTCCCCCTGAAAACTTCATATATAATTAGTTCATAAAATATTAAATTAATTATTCCTACATTGCCTTCTCACATTGAGACAGGTTTTCATCAAAATGCTTCTTTTAATACTTATTTTCATTTTTCTGATTATCACCTAAAAGTGCCCCACATTATGCAGTATATTATAGTACTTGTAATAATTGAATTAGCAATAAAGTTGATTGTTTATCTCTAAGTAATTTTTAAAAACTTGCCAAAGTTATGAAACTTGCTTTGCGTGTAGCGGGTGCTTTCTCTGTCATAGCCAGCTGAGTGCGTCTGTGTTATAGAGACCTTGTCAGGGTGAAATAGTTATAAATTAAGAATGTATGTCGATAAATTAGCCATGCATATTAATTTGTGGCACTCAAAGTTTCGCATAGACATAGAAATGAATAATGCCTTCTGCCACTACATGGTGATCAAACTGTGCAGTTCCATCTCTAAATACAATTGCTGAATGGAAATATGCTTCCTGCAACAGAGCACTCCACATTTTATGTTATCCAGATTATTCCCTTTGGAAACATAAATTGCTTTTATGAGGTATAAAATTATGTCTATTGCAGAACAGGGATAAGTCAAGTACATGCATAAGTGATAAACATTCTAACCACTGATTCAGAACAACACAATCTTTTTATATTCAGAACTTTGTACAATGTGTAGCATTAATAACCATATTCATTTTATGTTGAATTTTACATTTTGGTAAACATTTAATTTTTATTTTTAAATGAAAGGATTTTTTTCCTTTATATTTTCTATCTATTTTTTAAAAAGACGCACACGTCTTCTTCGGTCACACTTGCTATCCAAAAGAGAGCATTACCCTTTCTAACCTGATCTTCAAAAGCACTTCTCCTAGAAAATGTTTTATAATTCATAAAATAATACTTTCAGGCAAAACAATGAATTATTATTTGAGTTGATCTATTTTAAAGACACATTACAATGATTTGTTTTGCTTCTCTGTAAAATATTGGTAGATAGATACACACATATACAGACACAGAATATTTATACTCAGGAGAACATATACACACACACACAGAATATACTCATAGAATATCTATACTAAGGATTTCTCAGAATAGTATAAATATTTAGATGTACAAGGGCACATTATATGCATTCTTAACAATATTGCAACCTAAGAAATCCAACAATTAAATATCTATGAGAACCAGTGCTTTGTTAGAAAAAGTGAATTGTTATTATTATAGAGCATTTACATAATTATTGTATTTTCTTTTTTATGAGTAAATTATTTCATAACCAAATATACAGGAAATACATTAATAGCATGAAAATATTTATTGTGAAAGGGTTACTTTATTAATATTTCAATATTATTTAATAACATATTTATGTATAACATTAAATTTTTTGTTAAATATTGGTACATTTTCATTAGTGTTTAAGAAATTCTTAAGAAGATTGAAAATTTAACTTTTAATATTATTTATTTTTGATATATAAATAATACCATTTTTATATTTTACATTTTCATCTGAGAATATTATAAATTAATTTTAAAGCTACCATTTGGACTTTTCATTTCTACTTTAAAATAGCATCTGGCCATATCAGTTTTTCTCTCTGCAACTTAGATTTGTATGTGTTCTCTTTCCATTGATGAATAAATTTTTCCTTCATTATGTGATCTCAGTCTAATGATATATTAATTATAAAAAGATAATGCATTTAACAATAAGTATAACTAAATTAGCACAGGTCACCAAAAGGCCTTTTGTCAAATCAGATTGTTGTTTTGTCCTTTTGACTTTTACCTTATGGTAGGCACTAACAAAATATCTGAACTTTGATGGATGATAAACTCTAAACATGATATGTATTTTTCATAATGCTAATGTAATTTTCAAGGTACTGAAAAGGTCAAACCTGCACATCTCTGTGTGCATTCTAAGTCTGTCTTTTCCTTTAATATTTCTTTTTCTCTGTTTCTCTGGTTCAAAAGTTCACTCAGTTCCCAAATGGCTACCTAATTTTCCAGTTATTCCCTCAAGCCATATGTGTTTTGGTTTCTTTATGGTTTATTAGGTACTGTAGGAAAGTAGCATAAGTTATATCTTCTAATGAAATTCAAGCACACTTCAGTGATGCTTCGACTTGATTGCTGGTAGCAATTAAATCACAGCCAAGGAGAATAATGCATAATCTCACAAGGTCCAGACACCCTATAGAAACTGAAAGAGGATGAAAACAGAAAACAAAAACAAAGTCTCTCAACCCTGCCAGACACGCTGTTTCCAGCCTGCCGTTTTTTTTTTTTTTTTTTTTTTTTTTTTATTGGCCAACTGCCTGATTGATAGCAAAATCATAACTTGCTGCATGCTAACAGGCAGAGTTCACTTGTAGGTTATTGTGAGCTGATAAAGGGTTAGATGGAGTTTTGATTTTCGCATTGGACCTTGGTACACCAGATTAATGGAATTTCAATGAGAGACTAGAGTAGCCACAGCTTTGTCAGAGAAACAGATGGAGATTCTATAGTCATGTCTACTCATTAATACTAGTTGCCTGAAAGGTGTGCTGCTTCTCTATACAAAAGAGTTGATATAATTGATTTTTGAGTGGTGCATTGAAAAAAAGTACCTTATTGATGACTAGAATTGTAACATAGATGGTGACAGATTTTTGTACAGCTTGTAGCTTAAAAAATATCATACTTTGCAATTTTTTTCTTCTCTCTCTTTGGACATGCTTTTTATTTGTATTTTTTTGAGGAAAAATACATTTTAAGACCAATAGCAAAAAATGAAAAAATGACATGCTAAATTGCCTTTTAAGAAAAAGAGTCTGTATTTTATTTACAAATGATTGCATCACTGCTGTTAGTTTCATTTTGATATGGTAATATTTATTAAAAATCATATTTATTAGAAATTTTATTTTACTAGCTTTGTGCTTTATTCTGTAAAATTTAAAAGAAATCACAATGGGTTCTAGACTATTATAGATCACTGTTAGAAGTTTTATGCTATTATGTATTTGGATATATCGAAGTTTTAATATAAATGGTGCATGTCAGTAATCAGACAGAATTAGAGATAATGAAACTCAAAACCTTAAAAAAGAATATCTCTTAGCGTACACATTAGAATATTTGCTTGGACACTAACGTGGTAGATGCAGGATAGCCTATAGACACTGTATAATGACTTGGGTATCCATTTTTCTACTTTGAAATTATTTTTCATTCATTCTCATCATTTGTGAAAGAAAGCTTCTAACCATAAAGCACTGTGGAAAATCCCAGAGGTGAAGTGCAAGGGTTTAGTGAGCCAGAAGACGTATCGGCTCTGCCCATCGATGATAGGTCGAAGGATCCCAGTGGACATTTGTTACAAATCTGATTCAGTCCTAGACCATAATCACTTTGTGGATAAGAATCTGGAACCTCTAGGGTGTGAATACAGGAAGGCTAAAATGAAGCTAAAGAGATAAAACAGTCATTTATTAAAAAATTTATTTATTTCTATTACATTTATTGGGGTGAAAAACAGTCATTTATTGTCCTGGTATCTTCCTAACTAAAAATTCCCAAGTTACATAGGTTACTGAAACTGGAGGTATTGCAAGGACATAGGTTTATATGAAAAAATATTGGTTTAGGAATAGAACTATTTTTTAAAGCTTGGAGTTTAAAGGGAAAAAAGAGGTGTTTTGATCATAATTTATAACAGTAAATAATGATTTTCTTCTTTTTTGGTATACTTTTCTTTAAGAAAATCCAGTGTATAAAAATTATAATTTATAAAACATATAAATCACTTATTTCAGAGGAGTGCTTTAAAAAGAATTATCTCCATGATGCCTATAAATAACTCACTTAATGCATCTAAAACAAGTTCAGCTATAAACCCATCCACACATAAATTTAATGTGCAAATTTTTATACGTTACACATCAAACTTTTGAGGAAGATATTTTTTGTGTAAAATTAGGTGTAGCACTAAAAACCAGGTGATAGATATGTTTTACTTTTCTCTGGGTTCCAGCAGAATATGAAACAATGTTTAAAACCAGGGAAAAAAGGTTCTTTCAGTAACTTACCATTTAGGGTATGTGTTTTTCTGCTATAGTACCATGTGATTGTTGATAATTAAAATCATATATTTGTATTTTTTTCTGATAACTTAGATTAGTTTGCAACTTGAACGTCTTTGTGTATATAGCATATATAATTGTTGCACTTGTGTTTTTGTTTTTTTTATTTTTTTATTTCAATATATTAATTGCTAGCTTATGTGTGTTACAGCAATATAAGAACAAAGATTATTTGAATCCTTCCGTAATGTGCATAGCATAACTTCAAGTACTTTGGTAAAAGTGAGGAGTTATAGTTTGAGGAAATGATAAAAGTAGAAGACATGTTTTTAACACTAAAGATATATGTGATTGGAGATATAAAATACACAGATGTGAAATGTTTTTATGATATAAAGGTATATATGAATAAATAACACATAGCTATTGAGAATCATCTTTCTAACTTTTATTTTGCTGAATGGGAAAATACATCAGAATAAAACAATGTGGGCAAATAAGATTACCACAAAGTGGATTAGATAAAAAAAATATTGCAAAGAT